CAAATAGCTTCAACTAGAACTTTCTTTCCATTGTCGACAAAGATGTATCTTTTAACATCATTTGGCAGTTGGCTCCGTAGGCAACCCTGCATATACATACTTATATAAGTAGAAGCACCAAAATATACTCACCAAGTATCCTTATGTATATAAGCTAAATTAATTTTTGAACAAACCAAAGTGAGAGTTGTAACACCCCGTACTACTCTGGTTGTTAACCTCATGATATTACAGCGTACACAGCGGAAGATTTGATTAAATAATTAAAGAAAAGTCTTGTGAAAATATGAATAAACTTTTTCCAAAACATTTTATGAAAACATTTCTCAAGATGTTCACTTGATATATCAGAAAGCGTAAATCTAACACATATAATTACTAATTAATCTCATTAGCCAGGATTAATGGCCATTGACTAACCAGATATGACAACAAGTGTCATTCCTGCCAGAGTCTTACGGACAGCATAACAGCTGTTTAACGGACAACTGGGAGATAAGAATCTCACACAATCACACATGATAAACACAGTTAAATAACAGACAGCTTGCAAGTCCCACACGGACTGCAATCCCCTCAATAGGTCAGTATATACATAATGACTCTGTGCCCAAATTAATAAATTCATACATCATGTCTTTGTGTACTCATCACATGCATCTAACATAACTCATAATCCATACATCAATAATCTGAAAGCTCAAACAATAATTAATACTGAGCATTATTACATACAGCAACATAGTCTAAAAATAAACTGACTAGGTATGTCAAAACACTACACATGCCACATAACAACATAAAAATAAGCAGCAGCCACAATCCACCAATCCGTAGTTGGGCCCTTGCCCTTAGACTGCACACTGCTAACCTGAGTACCAGAAATGATGTTCCCCAAATGGGGTGAGATAACACATCTCAGTAAGATAAAGGTTTATAGAGGATCCTCTAATCCCCTGAGCCTACTTCCTGCATGACAAGTCAGATATAAAGCATATAATACAGGCATACAACATAAACATAGCATCATCATATCATCCTTGTGTAACCCCAGGGTCAAAGCCATAGACGGTTACACCTGTGTGACTCCAGGGTCAAGCCATAGACAGTCAACACAACCTCAGTATGAAATAGCTCCCAGAGTCAAGTCATAGGCAGCCTACATACCATGATCACTTGCCAGGATCCTCATAACATATATCATCAGTGCATCATCATAACATCAAGAATCACATAACATCTATATGAATGTGAATGAATGCACATATACATCATACCATGTACTTTCATACAATACAAACATAATGTCCACCATCATGGTGGGGCCACAAGAGAGAGGAGCAACCAGAACTAGGAGCTTACCTCAAGGAGCTTAGCACAAGCCCACACTCCAATATTTTATGTATGCTCCAATACAATCCTCAAGTGCAAGGTTCTCTAGGCACACCTAGAGTAGGAACCTTTCACATCATTAATTACATAGTAATTAATCAAGTCATATAAAATACTTAACCATTTAATGGTTCCACTTTCTATACTTATATGCCAATAATATGCCCATTACAAGTCTAGACCATTTATTACTTAATTACACATTTTTAGTGCATAAAGAATTGTTCACTAAGTCTACAATAACTCATTAGACACTTAGTCCATTAATAAACTCTCTTAAATTAAGGTATTTTCCACTTAACTTACAACTAATCAAGACATTTATCATCAATATATGTCATTCATACCCTTGAACATTAATTATTATAAGTTACTAAGGGTTTCCATAAATCCATTTAGCTTAAATCTCACTTTTATGATTTTTCTATAACTGTACATGCTTCTGTTTTCTAGTCTCTGTGTGCAACTAACTTGTTATAATATTCTCATCTTTTAGTATGTTAATCTAGACTCAATTATATTTCCAACAAGGTATCACATGCCTCATTTGGATTTCTTTAGCTCCAGTTATCACCGTTTGAAGTTGAACAAGGAAAACTGCCTGCCAACTCTAAACAGAGCCCCAAACATATCTCACCATTTCTGCGATTATGGAAAATATACTAAACCAATTGATCTCAAATTTTTATTCAAAAAACTAGACACCTTTATATTTAATTTTACATATCATGAGCCTAATTTGACCACTAACAGAGGGAGAAACAATTCGTTGAAGGTGCTGACACATTCAGCCCCTGCACATGGCCTCCCTGGGCAGTCTTCACTCAATTAAACCTACAGAATGCTATACATCTTAAAATGGTACCAAATTTTGACACCACATAGCTGACATCTCAAGCTGAAAAATGATGTATGGAATATCCCTATAAGACCTCTGTGGAGGGAGATATGCTCTTCCAAAATAAGCCTAAAAATTGGTCATTTAACCCTAATTGTGTTTAATTAGCAAATCCTAATTATCTTTGGTTAGAAACTCTAAGTCACTTTAATTTTAGGATTTTCTATTATTAGGTCACTTATGAATTCCCACATAGTCACATTAGGTCTTAGTTCATTAGGTTCACTAATTACATAATTAGTGCTTCTAAACCCTCATTAGGTCCATTTTAGGGTTTTTATAGTTAATTAATACATTATGCATGGTCCACTTCACTTAAACCATAGATTAGTATCCTAATTAGGTCTTAAACCAATATTTAATTTACTAACCCTAATTGATCCTTAGGTGGCCAAATTGTTTAGGTTATACAAACTAGGTTTTAACTTATTAACTTTACTATTTCTTTAGTTAATTAAGTCCTTCACTTAATTAGTCCACTAATCCATCATTTAATTAAATTTTAAACATAAAACCCTAATTATACTATTTACGAAAGATTTGATATAATAGAGTCATTAGAGTTTAAATCCATTCCTTAATCAAGATTAGCATTTTTAAGCTTAAATGTTGCATTTTTAATCTTTCCCCTTGGTCATACTCATGATTGTCCACACTTAACAACCTCAAGAACCAATTTTTATCCATTAAACACATCAACCCCCTTAAGAACTCATGATGGCTGAATTGTTTAGATGGTGGTGGTGGGATTTTTGTCATCATTTTTTCAAAGTTTCATGCTTACTTCTTCAAATGAGCATCAATGCTTCAAGCTCCCATCTTTCTCAAGCAAGCATGCTTTCTTTCCACAAAGAACATACCTTTAAGAAAACTCAAGATTAGAAATCAAGAAAACAACACAAAGATGTGATTTTTCAAGAAGAAAAGTCAAGAAAACTTACACTAGAACTTAGGGAAGTAGGCATCAAAGTGAGGTTCTTCAAGGAGAACTCAAAGCACCAACACCATGGCTTGAAAAAGCCAAGAAAACATTGTTGTATAGAGGGGTATGCACCATGAAATTTTGGCTTTCAAGAACAAAAATGGTATGTTCTTGAAGAGGAGGATGAGGGGAACAAGTTTTGTGAAGAGTGTTTGGTGATTTGATGGAGTTTTGGTCGTGGAATCTTAGAGAAAAGGTGAAGAAAATTTAAAAACTCAAACTTAGAGAGAGAGAGGTGGCTGCTAGGGTGCAGATCAGAAATGAGGGGAATGGTCCCTTATGTTTTTAGGGTTTATGTCATGTCATTAAGTGGCTTTCTGTCATTTAGTGACACCCGGTGTAATTTTTCTTTGAACTATTATCAAATTTTTACCTGAAAACACCCAAGACTCTAACTTTAAGTAATTAATATTAATTTTGTCTAATTATCATGTTCATAACTTCAAATTTGATTAGTAGATCACAAATCCACTTATAGTTGTTTAATTGCACTATAGTCTTTACCGGATTTCATAATCTTCTTAACTTTAACATTATTGGTCTAATTATGAATTTTTAGGCATATATTGACCTTTCATTCCTATAACAGCCTGTTGTACACCGGTATTATTAACATTAATTATGATATTAAGCGCAGTTACAATCACAACAATTCATTTGTAAAATGCGAATAAACTTTTTCCGATTATTACGCGAGCATTTAAAACATAAAAGAAAACGTAATAATTAAAAGTTGTGACCGTAACCGTAAACTCTTACGGAAGACTTATTTAAAATATTTTTATAACTTACTTTACTTATTATAAGTTACTAAGGGGTCCCCATAAACCCACTTAGCCAATTTCACAAATTTACGTTTTTACCTTTCCAAACATGGTTCACTAATTAATTTTCTGCGAACACACCGCTCACAAACATAACTTTCTTTCAATTTATATTTTTGTCTTACTTAATTTCCTTTCTAATAAGCTATCACACACTCAAATCGGAGCTCATTTGATCCGGTTATCGCCGTTTGAAGTTGGGTAAGCAAAACAGCCAACCAACCCCAAAACAGCTCAAAACCTCTCTCACTCCACGAATTACTGCATTAAACCCACTCGTCCAATTTCTCTCAAATTTTTATGCTACAAACTAGATACCTCGATCTTCGATTTGATATATCATACGCTTAATTTGAATGACAAACGAAGCAGGAATTAATTTCTCAAAACAGGTCCAGAACTGCCACATGTGCAGTAAGCACATGAGCAGTCTGCGTTCCTCCATTTTTTTCAGGTCGAAGACCAACCCAGTTTTTTCCCAAATTTAGACATAAGGTAGAGGACATCTCAACCTTCAAAATGGCGTATGGCACGTCCCTATCGGACCTCTATGGAGGGAGACATGCTCTCCTGAAGTTCGTTCAAATATGCCAATTCTACAGAAAATTCGCCAGAGTTTCCTTTGTTTTTCCTTAAATCCCTGAATTTGTACCAATTCACTAATGCCTCAAAGGTACCTAATAATCCAATAATAATTCAGTAATAATCCAAAGGGTGGCACATACAAGGACCAACAACGCCTTGGGGCACTTACAACCCAATCTAGTTTATATTTATTACACCACTAGCTTACTTTAAAATCCATACATAGTTTCAATCACAAATTCCAATTTCATGCATCTTTCATCATACAAGTACTCATAACCTAAAATAGTCCTAAAGCCCTTCCATCATATCATGTCATGCATCAAGTACAATTACAATATTTGCTTTACAATTTACAACTTAAAACTTAAACTTTAACTTACAATCTTCCAATATTACAACTTAAATACAAATTACAACATAAACTGAATAACATAAACTACTAGACTTAGGCAAAATGACATGAACAAATATGCTAATGAAACTCATCCTACATACATATGAGATGTTCATGCCCTAAGTCTAGCCTAGGCCACATGGCCAACAAAATGCAAAATACTAAATCACTCCATTGATCACTCTGCGGGCCTCTTGCCCGCTGCTCCAGCTCCACTGCTACCTCCTGAAATAAATGCCTCGAGACGGGGTGAGATATACGAATATATCTCAGTAACCCAGAGGTTCTGGAGAAAACTCCGCCCAATGGTTCACTTCGATGCATATCAATAGTATAAAACAACCACTTTCAAAACGGGATAAAGCAAGGGATTTAGAGAAACTGGGGAATATCGGGATATAAAATACGACGAAGCGGGATGGTAGCTACCAATACCACGCAACGTCCTCGACATATATAAGCCTACGGGTATCATCCAAGGTGTGTTCCAAGAACCACAACCATGATGCCCAAACCATCCATAACACCCGAGACATTCCTAGTGTGCTCCTATCCGGATCACACACCACGACCCTAGGTCAACTGGAACTCCCTCTCGGAGACCTATCCAGTGGAAGTCCGAAACTGCCCGAAGGCTAACTGTCTACTGGCCAGAGACTCGGTACATAAGTACCCACTGTGATAATGCATGCATGCTCATGTTGTTCTACACTACTCATATACACTTCCTACCATTACCCTCAACGGGTATGGTGGAACAGAAAAGGGGAATAAGCCCCAGTACCAAGAGGTTACCTTAATTTGTTCTTTCCCTTAGCTCCGCAACAGCTTATTCCTCAACTTGGTACACAGCAGAATGCCTACACAGAGGACATTCCCAATCACTCAAAACTCAAACAATACATGCTAATTCACAATTATACATGCATTGATTCAATCACTTACCTCAATCCACTTGGTCCAGGACCAAGGGCAATCCACTGATTCACTGTTCAGGATTCAAGTCGACGTACGACAACCTACAATGGTCACACATAGGATCATCAATCAACTTGTAACACATGTCAACGTACAAAGCAACGTACTACCCTCTCCCATTATTTTTCTATATATATAGCCGAATTGGCCTTAATTAATTTCAATGATCTTTTAATCATTTTCTACTAATCCAATCATCATCAATTTACTTAATACTCACACTTTCATCTAGGAATTTTATTAAACATATAATTTACACAATTTTCCTTCTCTGGGCTGAATTTGCCTATACTAGATTCAATGGATTTTTCTTACTATTTCTACTTAATTTATAATGAACCAACTTTCCTTTGGTCACTTGTAAATCTTAGTTCCAGTTAGAAATTTTATCAAACACCTAGCTTGCATACTTTCTCTTGCTTTGATCGATTGCTTCTTGGTTTCTACAAATAATTTTTTTTGTTCATTTCAAGCCTATACATGCATAGTTTAACTTATACTAAATAAACAGCCAAAACCAAGCATCCTAACTACTTAAATAATCATAACATTAAATACTTACAATCAGCCCATGACAAAATTCCAAGTCTAATATAAATTTTCCTACCATTCAAACCTATATATATTACCTTGTTTAACCTCCACCACACAAGGAATCAACTTGCAACTTGAATATTTGGAAAACCACTTCAAATCCTTGTAAGACAGCCCTAGGGTCGAAGGAGAAGGGGAGAAGTATCTCACTAACAAAAGCTTCTCACAAGGAAAAAAAGGATAGGGCTGAGTTCTTAAGGTTGAGAAACCCAAGCAAGAAGATGTCTAAAATGCAAGTTGTACACTTGCCCTAAGCTTCGTATACGTTCGGTTTCTGGAAAAAGAGAAGAAGCAAAAGACGAAAAGCAAAATGAGGCGTAAAGGAAAACAACCGACTTGGGTACACTTATAAGTTATAATCTAATGAATTAACTTTCATTTCACTTCTTTTTGACTTTTCAATATGATTCTCATTGGTTGATTTTCCATCTCACTAAAGACAAAATAATGAAACTCACGTGAAACACTAAAAGGAACTAGAAAGTCCATTTGGAAAGCTAAACAATTGCTTCTTCACTTAATAAAACAAGAACGTGAGATTTTGCAACACCATCACCGACTTGGGGAAATCAGAAAGGTATACCATTTAGTTTATGATTTCCTCCAAATAATTTATTGTATACTTTTTTTTTATTTAATTGTTTTTTCTTTAACTTTCCAATACCTTTTTACTTAATTCAATTTGTCAATTCCTAGCAATTTTCGTTAATTAATTTAGAGGTAAGGCAACGTTGCAACAAGCACTAAAATAGCCAACCAAGTAAAATTAATTGGTAACAAATTTAAGAACCATTTTATCAATTTGCCGTTTTATCTTTTCTTTTACGTATTTTGGTTCTAAATTCACGATTTTCACTAATCCTTCCCTTTAATTCTCATTTAATATTTGATTTAGGATTACTAGGTGTTATAATTCCATTATTTCATATTTTTCTCATTCTGGGATTGTACCGGTTGCTGCTACAGCAGTACAAAATATCCGACAAAAGTGACTTTTCAGAAGTACCCCAATATGGGTATTGTAACACCCCGTATATATCCGGTAATGTTATCATAATATCGTATTAAGCCGCGCTTAATTACAATGCGGAATTACTTTTTCTTTTCAATTATGATGCCATTAACATTACCAACTTGCTTAATAATCAATTAATAAAACATCGTCTGTATGTAATTGCAATAAAATAGTTAACTGAAATACCTCATAACATAGATAATATAAGTGTGGCTCTAGTCACGGAACTACAACAACGTAGACCGGACCATCTAACAGTTTATACAGCTCCAATCTAAAAAGTACTAACAGAGAGTGTCATGGACAATCCCCATGCTTACTCAAATAAGGCAACATGCCCAACATCAGTCTCGACAACAACATAATGATAAAAGGCATAAAACATAATCAGCATCAATATCCAGTCATGCTAACAAATAAGCAGAAACAACATAATCAGCTAAGCTCCAGCCTCCTGCCGCCTGAGGCATCGGTACCCATACAACCTGATCTTGAAATAAGCATTCCCCAAACGTGGGGTAAGATCTCTAATCTAGAAATCTCAGTAAGTCAGTGAGTCCTCAAGGATCTTCCACCCCAAGCTCACTTACATGTGCAATATAAGTTCAAAAGCAGTTTATCATTTATCATTTCTAAAACAATGCAATGCAGCAGATAATCATGCCATGTGTGTCAATACTAATCTACTGGCCAGAGACAGTGCAGGTATACGTCTATCACCTACACACCGTGCAAGTACCACTTGCATTCACCCCGGTACACCGTCTTGTATGACGCTACATACTCAGGCTTCCCGTCAAGATGAAACAACACATGCATATTAAAATCCATTACATGTAAAGTTCAATCAACATATCAAATATCCAAAAGCATGTACACAGCATGCATAAACCATACCCCCATGGGACATGGTGGAACCACGACATGGCTAAACTGAGGACACGAAAGCTTACCTTGCAAGCTAATTCCAAAAGCCAAGGGTCCACAGCTCAAAGTCCAAACACCGCAGATTCACAATCTGTTATGGACCAATACTAAATCAATAACATGTACCACATGCATACAAATTAAAGACAACGCCTTTTCATTACGCTTTACGTCTTAAGGCTCCATACCAAGCCATAAGTCCTTAATCACAACGATTCTGACTTAGTTTAATTAAAACAGAAGTTCAACTTCATTAATGTAGGGTCCACAAACCCCCAATAGCCTACTGTACACACAGCACAGCTACTGTTCTACGAAATCCCAGAAATCCGGATATTCCTCGGGACCATATCCGGATATGCAATATCCGGATATCTCACTGGACATATCCGGATATGCAATATCCGGATATCCAGAATCCCATATCCGGATATCTCATATCCGGATGTCCAAATCCCATATCCGGATATCACATATCCGGATATTGTTCGGGCACATATCCGGATATTTCATGACAGAATGCAAAAACTGCATTTCGTGAAGATATCCTTCCAAGGTCGGGTTTTTACCGATTTTAAACACCTAAACATACATTTCTAGGTGTGTTTGACATTACCCAATGTTAAGTTATCATCTTTTAACCTTTACATGCATCAAGGTTCCATTTTTACACACTTAAACTCAAGTTCAAGGTTGAAGATCATACCACAAGCTTAAACTCAGCAAGAATGACCCAAAGAGCTCACCAACAACCCTTCCAAGTACTGTTTCTACAGGTACACGAAAATGGACCAACAAAATGAGTCATTTCCTCACCAAGGAAGCTACTTGGAGCTCTAAACCACTAAGAACAAGATGAATCTCCTCCAAACTCTCAAATTCAGAACCAGAACCTCACAATAAACTCAGAAAGATGACTCTTTTCTGCTCACAAGACTCACACTCAAGTATTTCCCATTCACCCAAGGTGTTTTGGTGAAGAAACTAGAGGAAAATGTGACAACTTGGTTGAGTTTCCAAGGAAACAAGGCAAGGCATGAAGGAGGCTGGTCAGCAGCTCCAAGGCACCAACTTTCACGTTCAAATGGATGAGTATCAGCCTAGGTTAGTGTGTAAAAGTTGTATTTATAGTCAACTTAAAGGAAAACACACAGTATTAACTTTAATTGCTACGCTTAGCATTTTAATCCCAAACTCTGGATTCTTAACCTACTCAATTTTACAAGAATTATCATATTTTTCTTATAATTTTCTGAGCACCTTTCCGGTACGCGCTTTTCCAAGCCAGTACCGGTTTCTAGCACCAGTTCTCATTATCTGGACTTGAAACTCGTTTTACAAGTCCTACATATCATTCTAGTAATTATCATACACTTATTATAATTTTCCGGGATACTTTTCGGTACGCATTTATACCGACTAGCAGAACCGGTATCTGCACTTTTCTTCTGAAAAGCGACTTTCAGCATTATTACCCACTTACTATAATTATTAAAGCCTCATAATAATTATTAGGGCCAATTATGAAATCATTTCCTAATTTTGCATAATTAATTAATTAAATACCTTAATTAACGGTGCGAGTTCTTACAAGTATCAATCTTCACCATTTCATATACTAACCTCATTCATGATGTTTATATCATTAGATTAGCTCTCTAACTCAGATTTTCTAGATTGAAGCTATTCTACAGACTGTTACTGTGTCAGCAGTCAAAAACAACAGCTGAAAACTCAACTGCTCAGAATACCCTCAATATAGGTATCAAACTTCATCAAATCTTATGCTTACATCATTTATTATATTCATATCATTAGGATAGCTCTCTAACTTAAATTCACTGTACTGGAGCTATTCTACACCAATTTTTAACAAGAACCTAAAATTCCAAATAGCTTCAACTAGAACTTTCTTTCCATTGTCGACAAATATGTATCTTTTAACATCACTTGGCGGTTGGCTCCATAGGCAACCTTGCATATACATAGTTATATAAGTAGAAGCACTAGAATATACCCACCAAGTATCCTTATGTATAGAAGCTAAATTAATTTTTGAACAAACCAAAGTGAGAGTCATATGCTTCTTTTCACACCATGCCTTATATTTGGGGCTCTCTTTCTATTGAACCCTAAAGGTTATAAAGTGAAAGCTATTGAGTTTTGATGATAACAAAGCACAAGGAAGCTCAACATGTATTTACATCATGGAAGACAGTGCACCATGCCCCAATTGATAAAGGAATACAAGAGCAACATTCAAAAGGCTTGAAGAAACTTAAAGTAATAAGGCAAGTTAACGTTTTCAAGCTTAAAGAAGACTTAGAATCTCAAAGCATGAAGACAAAGGAATACAAGCCTAAGCATAAGCTTATATAGTTAGGAATGTATTTTTAAGTTTAAAAACTTGTAGAAATAAATTTATTGAGCTCTCTTATCAAAACATGTATACTTAGGATCACTACAACATGTTGTACCTGAACCTACATAGTCCAATCATTTATACAAAGTCACACACACATGAGAATTGTTATATAGAGTCTAAATGTACTCATAGATATGTTTGAACTTGCTAGGAACCATTTAGAATTCAATTGGATTAAGTATTGCATTGATCAGTGGTTCTATTCACAACTTACACGAGTAAAACATAACATTTACCCGAGTAAATCATTCGCTCGGGTGAATGTTAGAGACTTACTTGAGTAAATGCTAATGAAAAATTTATCCAAGTAAGCCTTCGTGATTTACTCGAGGAAATGTGTAACAAAACACATTAATGATTTAATTTTGAGTCCAACTGTCATAAAAAGTTATTATCTTCATTGGATTTCTATATAAACCTAAGATGAGGGTACCTATGAACAAATTAACAAGGATTAATGCATAAACACTTAAAAATAAAATTTTATATGATTTTAGGCTTATTTTGTGTATCTTGAGAGAAATCTCAATTATCTTATGTTCTTGTTTTATTTCTTTGATTTCTTTTGTAATTTGGATTGTAGAAAGGTTATTTTATATCTGTTTGAAGAAGTTTTTGTGTTCTAATTCGAATTGGTGAATTGGAGTGATCCTATAAGTATATGGGTTGGGATTGTGACCAAAGTTGGTGAAGAAACTTATAAAAATCCATTTTACATCAGTTTCTTATTCACTGGATGGAAGCTCTGAGCTTAATGGACGATAGACATCAGTTTAGACGTAGCCCTCTAGTTGTTTGAGAGCGAACCAGGATAAATCTTTGTGGTTGATCTTCTAAACCCTTATCTTTTTAACTTATGCTTTTGATTAATTACTTGTTGTGTTTATATCATTGATTTGAATTTTTTTGGGTTGAAAAGGGTTTGGTCTCTAT